TACAGATGGACCTGTTGCAACAATGAGAAGTCATGTCGAAAACGAGCTTTACAACGTTGGTGGGGGGTGGGGAGGAGGCTGGGAAGGGATGTGAAGGGTAAACAAAGGAGGAGGCTGCAATGCTGGATAAGAAATGTACGCATTATCCTGCCCATGTAATTGTAACCCCTCTGTACAGTATGTTCACAAAAAAAATAAATAAAAATAAAGCTGTTTGTGGTGGTGTGTACCCATCACTTGTTACAAAGAGGACATAAATATGTAAATAAGAGCCTTGAAGTACAGGCCAGCCCTTGGAAAAAGCATGAGGCTTTATTTAAAAGAAACTAGATTAAAAAGGACTAGAGATAGTAGAGTGCTTGACTAACAAGCACAATGCTCTGAATCCAAACCCCAGTACTGATTTTAAAAAGTGTTTACCACAAATTAAATTAATATTTTGGAGATGAATTAAAACTGAAGTACCATCAGCATTAGTTTTGTAGTACTTACCATCCTTTATAGTTTCTTTTGTTAAGCTTCTTCCATAGTGCTGGTTTTGTGTCTCATAGCTATCAGAGTGAACATGATAAACCTGTCAAAAAAAAAGCAGTGCCTATTAAAGGACTAATACTCTCTGATCACATATTTTTTTTAACCTGGCAGAGTGTTTAATATGGCATCTATTTATATAACTCATCATAATAAACTTTAAAACATCATAGTCATATCAATACATGCACTTAACTAATTTAACATCTACTACTGACAAAAAGTCCTTACAAGGAAAAATGATTATTTCCAATATGATAAAATTATCATATTGGAAAAGTTAGTCTCCAGTTTAAGGTAGAAGGTAAAAAAGTGTTTTTCTTTTAAAATAAAAAAGCTTCCATAAAAAAGTAGATTCTATCACATCTTTTATGATTATTATATATACCTATATATAATAAGCATATAATAAAATATAATTTTATATTATTATGTAATACTATTTTGAAGTTACTAGCAAATACAAACAAACAACAAAACAAACAGAGGGCCAGGCATGGTGGTTTTCCACTGTAATCCTAGCTATTCAGGAGGCCAAATTCCATAAGACTGTAGTTGAAACCCAACCCAGACAAAAAGTTAGCAAGAACTCATTTTTTCTGTTGCTGGCTGTGGGGTTTACTCTGAGCCTGGACATTTCAGCTCAAGGCAAGCACTCTACCACTTGAGCCACAGCGCTACTTCTGGTTTTCTGGTGGTTTATTGGAGATAAGAGTCTCACGGACTTGTCTCACGGACTTTCCTTGCCTGGGCTGGCTTTGAACTCTGATCCTCAGATCTCAGCCTCCGGCTAGCAAGACCTCATTCTTAACCAACAAGCTGGGCATTGTGGCTCAAACCTGTAATCCTAACTACTCAAGAGGTAGAGATGAGGAGGATCCTGGTCCAAATCCACAGTAGGCAAAAAATGAGAAACACCCTCTGAAAAACAACTGAAGTGTCAAGAGCTTAGAACTTGACTCTAGTAGACAGCATCTGCCTAGCAAGTAGGAGACCCTGAGTTCATAATCTGGTAACACAGATAATCATTTAGAAGATAAGTTATTATTCTTTTAGGTAGTAGTTGTACTCTGGAAAATCAGTTTAAAAATGAATACAAAAGATAAAAAAACAAATACTGGCTGAATAAAATTAGTAAACAAAATAATATTTCAAATAACAAGTTTGTATAAGTAGAAGACCTCATTTACAAATGCAGCAAAAAGAATAAGAGATACAAATAAAAGTAAATAAACACAAGATGTGTATAAAGAGCACTTTAAAACATTCCTAAGATATACACCCATGTTCACTAAGAAGATTCAACATCATAAAAAGATACTAATCCTAAAGTTAATCTACAACTAAAATGAGATAATAAAAAGCCACCAACATTTTTAAAAATCAAATAAACTAATTCTAAAGTTTCTGCACAGCCAGGTGTGGTAGCTCATTTCTGTACTATCAACTATTCAGGAGGCTAAGGCAAGAGGATGGGCTCAGCCTAGAAGTTTGAGACCAGCCTGGGTAGTTTGTCTTTAAAATAGATGAAAAATGAAAAAGTTCACACAAAACAATAGGAAGAGCCAGATAAATTCAAAATAAAAGAATAACTTTATCATCCTACCATGTAGTAAAATACATTTGAATCAAATATGTAAGCCAATTTAGTATGTCATAGGATTTTAAGTCAGTAGAAAAAAATGACTGTTAGTCTGATTAGTTATTTGGGGAGAGATAACTTTATACCTTACTTCTCATGTCAGAATAAATTCAAAATGCACAAAATGAAATAAAAGCCCCCCCTCCTGAAAATATAAAAGAATTGTTGAATATCTAATAATCAAAGAAAGTATTTCTAACCAAAACTCACATTTCCACCCCATTCAGGATACTTTAAGAATAGAGAAAAGGGAAGGTGGCTTAGTGGTAGAGTGCTTGCCTTGCATTCATGAGGTCCTAGATTCTATTCCTCAGTACCACATAAGCAGAAAAAGCCAGAAGTGGCGGTATGGCTCAAGAGCACTAGCCTTGAGCTGAAAAGCTGAGGACAGTGCCCAGGCTGAGTTCAGGTCCCATGATGGACCAAAAAAAAAAAAAAAGAATGGAGAAAAGGTAAGTAAAATTTATATAATATACTCAGTGTATCCTTATATTCAATGTAAAAAGGACAAAGGAGCAGAAGATTTCACAGAAATCAAACAAGCCTCAAACTTACTAGGAACATGTCACGTCTCTTGCACTTAAATTACCAAACAAAAATGTCTCTAGACACTGATAACGTCTCCATGGGAAAAAAATGTCTCCATGGGGGGAAAAAATTGCCCCTGTTTGAAAACCATTGCCCTATATAAGGCAAACTGCCAATATTTACCGAAGTTATACATGTGGACACACCTCCCTTAAAGATTTATCCCAAGGATGTGCTAGCACACTGGTAGAATAAAATAGGTCTATAGTTACTCACTTGAACATGACTCATACTAGTAAAAGACTAAAAGCAATCAGAAGAGTCATCTTAAACTCTTTACACAGAAAGAGTTGAATAAAATCATTTTCTTTTGCATAAACATAAAACCTATTTAAGAAGGACAGTTTCTCGGCTGGGCATAGTAGCACATCCTGTGATGCCAACACTAGGCAGGCCTAGAAGGCTCATTAGGAAGCCCCTCTTTCTCTCAACAGAAACATTACACTGAACTATAAGAACACCTTTAAGAAATGGATATTCTCTATTTTACCTGAATATGTTTAAAGAGAATTCTATGGCTGGGAGGTTTGCTCAGTGATTAAAAAATACATGTTGAATGTGAGCAAGGCCCTAGGTTTCATGCCCAGCACTGCAAAACATGATTAACCCAAACAAAAACATAATTCTAAAAAACTCACCCTCTGTTACTCAGGAGTCTTATGATCTGAGTCAAAATAAATCTTATCCATAGGAACTTCAACCCCACATATGCACCAAAAAAGTTAAATCTTTCTAGTGCAACACTGTTATTAAATTCTCTTTGCCCCTGTTTATTTCTACTTTACTAACACTAACATGGAAAAAATTCTTGAGTTTCTCTAACTTCTACCTACTATTGTTCTTGTCTAGTAACAAAGATATTTATAAAACACATATACTCCCAGCCTGAAAACACACAAATACATATATGTATAGTTAAAATAAAGGTTGTAATTATTATTTTTTAATGGTTGGGAGATATGCTAAGGAGAACAGAATGAGCAAGAGCAAGCTCCAACTCTTCCTTATGGATAAATCTTAAGTGTTACTGTCATACTATCACAAAGGAAGGGAATACAAAAAAAAGACTTGGGACAGTATGATCAACAGAAGGAAAAAATAATTATCATTCCCTTTAATCAGGAATCAGTGATTGGGAAAGGTAACTTCTGTGTATTTCAAAAAAGCTAGAAGATAGGATTTTGGAAATTCTCACCACAAACAGTACATGCGTTAAGACATTATTACTGTGTAAGAACATTACATAACACATATATACAATCTATTTACATACCCCATGTTATAAAATGTATTTGTCCCATGTATATAAACTTAGGTGTTCATTAAAAACACACTTATAAATGTCAAAGCCAAATAATTAAGCAAATAGAAAAACTTTTTAAATTAAAAAAGTTAAATCGAGTAAATACTACTAAACTTAGAAAAAGAAGTGACTAAAATTTCTCTTCATTTAAAAAATACAGAAAAACAATACTTTTCTAATAAAAATGCAAAAATAATGTTTTTTCTAATATTTACTTTGAACCTTAGCTTAAACTTATTTAAAATAACTGTCCAGTTACTATCTTGGGGTTCAGTCATTTATTTATTCATCACTTACTATGTGCTAGGATCAGAGACTAACCATTTACCAATGAACAAAAGAGAAAAGTTCCTGCCTCACAAAGTTTATGTATTCAGGATTTATGAAAACATATTCCCTTCTGATATATTAGCATTATAATGGTATCAGTAATCTTCAAAGAAAAAATATAAAGAAAAATGTGTGTATTATACTGAATCACTCTTACCCTCATGCCAAGCACCAAGAACCCAATCTCTTCCATTAATGGGTACTTGCTAACCTGCTGCTGAATCTTCTCAGACGAGGCAAAAGGATCATAGCTTTTTCGCCCTATCTTTACATCCATTATACAGGGCTTAGTAAATTTATGGGTCACATCTTCCAGTTTTAGGTATAAGTCTGTAAGTAAAGAAAAACACTAATTAATGACAGGCAGACATATTACTACTCAAATATCACAAAGGCAAACAAAATGAGGAAATCCTAGAATCCTATATTTGATGTCAGTATAACTTGTGGAGGAGATGGGGAAAAACAAGTCGTTTAAGGATACAGGTGGACCTGTTGCAACAATGAGAAGTACAAGTTGTCCTGTCGAAAACAAGCTTTACAACGTTGGTGCGGGGAGGCGGGGGGAATTAGGTGGGGGGGGGGAAGAATTGGGTGGGGGAGAGGCTGGGAAGGGATGTGAAGGGTAAACAAAGGAGGAGGCTGCAATGCTTGATAAGAAATATACGCATTATCCATGTAATTGTAACCCCTTTGTACGGTATGTTCAAAAATAAAATGAAATGAAAAAAAAAGAAAAATTTAAAAACCTAGTCAGCAATTATTATTATTATTAAAAAGGACTGACCAACAAATGTGTAACATTTGCAAATGGTATGGGGGGAACAACAGGAATGGAGAAAAGAAGGGTGAGCAAATGCAGGCGTTGTTTTCAATATATACTGTGTTAAAAAATGAACTATGTAACCTGTGTGTAAGAATGGGAGAGGGAAATGGGGGAAAGCTAAGGAAGGTGTGAAAATGTCTAAGAAGCATTGTACTTATAACCTGACTTATGAAACTGTAACACCTCTGTACAACTCCTGAAAAATAACAATTAAAAAGCAAAAGGCAATGAAACCAGGTACTGGTAGCTCACATCTATAATCCTAACTACTCAGAGGTTGATATGGAGAATCTTAGTTTGAGGACAGTGCAAGCAGAAAATCTCACTAGATTATCTCCAAACTAACCAACAAAAAGCAGGCTGAAAGCAAGGCTAAAGTAGCAGAGCATCAGTTTAGAAGAGCATCAGTTAAGTAAACATGGGGCCCTGAGTTCACACTCCGAGTAATGCAAAAAGTAGATGACATTATTTCAAAGTTGTTTCAGAATATATTCATTCACCTTTTAAATATAAATTATGCCATCTATGCCTTAGCACAGTATCTTTAGTACTTTAAAATGTTTTATTCATTTATTCTTCACTTAAAAACTAGTAACTCTAAATTCTTCCTACAACAAAAGTAAGGGTTAAGAAAGGATCCTAGTTTTACCAGTTTCTAAGGAAAATCAAAGGACTTGCTTTGTATTTTATATATATCTATATTTTTATTGTAAAAATACTGTACAGAGGGGTTACAGTTACATAAGGATGGTAATGAATACATTTCCTATGGAGCATTGTTACCTCCTCTGTTTTTTCCCCTTCCATCCCTTTGCTCCCCACCTCCCCAACTCCTCCCTCCCCACCCCCCTGACAACGTAAAGTTCGTTTTCAACAGTGTCCTGTACATCTCAACATCACAATGGATCAACCTGAATCCCCATGAAGCATTCCGATATATCCCTTCCTCTCCTCAAAATTACAAAAATGTATATACAATATGTAGAACACCGAAATCAAAACAGGGGTTATACCATGGGGGAAGAACATACAAAAGAAAAGAATCACATAGTTCATTATAAGTACATTAAAAACAATAACAAGAAAGAAAATCCACTTGTGTCTCTTGTTTTGGGGAACATTTCGCTTAACATCATCTTATATAGTCATATGTACATAGCCTTTGACCTTCTCTGCTTGTCCTAGACATGTACTAGTCATTGCAAACAAGGAAAACATGGGACTTATGTTTCTTTGCCTGACTTAGTTCATGTAATATACTTTTTTCTGAGTCTTTCCATTTCCTAACAAATGGGGCAATGTCATTCTTTGTGATGGAGGCACAGAATTCCATTGTATATGCATACACCACATTTTCTTGATCCATTCATCTACTGAGGGGCATCTGGGTTGGTTCCATATCTTAGCTATAGTGAATAATGCTGTGATAAACATAGTTGTGCTGGTAGCTTTAGTATGGTCTTCTTTGTGATCATTTGGGTAGATGCCCAAAAGTGGGATTGCTGGTTCATCAGGAAGCTCTATGTGGAGTCTTTTGAGGATCCTCCATACTGCTTTCCAAAGTGGCTGAACAAGTTTACACTCCCACCAACAATGCAGTAGGGTTTCCTTTTGGCCACATCCCTTCTAGCATCTGTTGTTACTAGATTTCTTAACTATAGCTATTCTAACTGGGGTGAGGTGGAATCTCAATGTTGTCTTGATTTACATTTCTTTTATGGCTAAGATCTTGATTGGAGAACACTGACATCCAAAAGTTTGTTTGCATGCAACATAAATGTAAATTCAATTATAATATTATAAAAATCTAGTTACTGAAAACAAGGCTGGAGGACCAATGTGGGAAGAGGGAAAGATATTTTCCTCCCCTTTCCAAGGTAAAATAATCTCTAAATTCTGAAAAATATGATTCAGGTTTTAGTAATGAATACAGTAATAAACATTTCTCCTAAAATAAATATTTTCTCCTCAAAGAGAAAAGATTTTATCTTGTTAACTATTAGCAATTCAAGGCTAGAAAAAATGTACATTACCTCTAAAGGGTACCAAGAATAAGAGAAGCCTTGTCCCTTTTCTTTGTTCCTGTTCCACTAAGACTAAGATATTATCCAATTACAATAAAGAAGTTTGTGTTGAACCAATGAGGACAACTCAGAGCGTAAACATTTTTACACCACTCAGATTGACTAAGCATACATCTCCTCTAAAGGGTAAGAGATAGAGATCAAATTTTGTCCCTGAAAGGATAGTGGAAGGAAGGTTGTGACTATGCAGATATGAAGAAGAAACTGCAGCCCCCAGAGCAGCACCAATACAGAAGGAGTCTACAATTGAGAGAAAAGTTCCTGAACAGCTATCTTCAACAGCTTAAGAGAAAACAAAAGATCTGGACACAGGCACAACACTGTAGTGAAAGGCAATAGACAAGTGGAAACATCCTGACCAAGAAGCTGGAGCCCACCCACGCTTGTGTATTCTAAAAGATTACCACCATGGGGGTCAAACTGGGAAAGGAGCACAAGACAATTCCTTCAGATCCTCTCCTACCATCCCTAACAGCTTTCTGCAGCTCCAGCTGCACAAGAATGTTAGCAACAAGACATAAATTCAAATGTCAAAAAAGTCTAAAGACTAACAAAGTAGATTCTTGGCACTGAAAAAGTTAGCATATAATTTGGAGTCAAAAATTTGCAAATTCTTGGGGCTGGGAAGGTGGCTAAGTGGTAGAACGCTTGCCTTGCATGCCTGAGGCCCTGGGTTCAATTCCTCAGCACCACATAAGCAAAAAGAAAAAAGCCAGAAGTAGCGCTGTGGCTCACTAGCCTTGAGCTGAAGAGCTGAGGGACAGCGCCCAGGCCCAGAGTTCAGGCTCCATGACCGGACCCTCCCCTCCAAATAATGCAAATTCTTACTGAGTTTGTAAAGCTGTGTATGACACTGTAGAAGTTGTAGGGAAATCCTGCCTCAAATGCACAACTATGTGTTCATTTGGTAGAGATTAAAATAAATAACCTGTTATAAAGTTTGGAAGTAGATTTTGTATGTCTGAATATAAAAACAATATTTCTTCTTTTCCTTTTTATAAAGGAGGAAGATACAAGTGCAATAAGAGTATAATAAATGTTTGCTGAATAATGAGTGTTTGCCTTTCCCATTCCTACTGCCCAGTAGAACTTTGGACTTGGCTTTCCTATACTGAACAGTAATTTCTTTAGTAAATAGGGATAGGTTTTTACGCTACATTTATTTCAACTGATTAAATATGCTTTCCTTCAATTTAATTATTAAGTAACTGCTAGACTATTTACTATTAGCCTTCAGAAATAAAACTCTCTAACTTAAGGTCTACTGGGATTGAGTGGTTTCTTTTAGTTCTTTGGCCTCGTTTTAAGTAACCATAAAAATTTGAGATTCTCAAGGGAAATAACAAAATGCTGAAACAAGGATACAGGCTGACCCATTATAAAAATGAGATGTACAAGACACTATGTAGAAAATGGAACTTTACAACTTGGGGGGTTGGGGAAATTTGGGGAGGTGGGAAGGGAAGGGAAGGAATGGTAGGAGAAAAACAAAGGAGAAGGTATCAATGCTCAATAGGAAATGTACCTTACTCATGTAACTGTAACCTCTCTGTACACTATTTTTACAATAAAAAACAAAAATAAAAAATTTGAGATTCTCATTTCTATCTTCCCAAGATTTAAAAAATAAATTGCAAAATCTGTTGTAGTAAAGTTCACTTAAGGAATCAATGTTATTATATCTAGCAGCTTACAAGTGTTTCTGAAAAACAGAAATAAGGTAGCATGATCTCAGCATTGAGATCATATTATTGAGTTACAATTATTTATTTACATGTTACTGATTTACAGTTTCTGCCATATGTTCAAAAAACTGAATATTATTTCTTCTGAAAAATACTACTAGAAAATTCTTTCCATGGAATAGAGCTAAATCAAAGTAAGTCAGTCCTGCAATTCAGTTATTTAAATGTTCAAAGGCTAAAGAACAGCCTGTTAGGCAAAACCACAGACTGGGTAACAAAGAACAGATCAACCAGGCCCCTTTGCAAATACAGACTGGAGCAATGTTTTTCAATATATAGGTTATAGCCTATTATTGGATTAGAAATTCAACTTAAAGGGTAGTAACCAAAAGTTCCTTAAATGACAGAAAGGGTAAACATGAGAATTCTCATATACACTAAGACCTATTATTGTGGATTGGTCATAATCTTATAAACACTGAGTTTTGATATAAAATGTATTTATATCATAGCCACAAAGTTTAAAAGAATATTTGACTTAGGGTTGGGAAGGTGGCTTAGTGGTAGAGTGCTTGTCTTGCATGCATGAGGCCCTGTGTTCGATTCCTCAGCACCACATAAACAGAAAAAAAAAAAGCTGGAAGTAGCATTGTGGCTCAAGCGGTTGAGCTGAAGAGCTGAAGAGCTGAGGGACAGTGCCGCAGACCAGAGTTCAGGCCCCACGACCGACCAAAA